TTATTTTATATAGGTATCTGTTAAGATTAAATTAGTGAGGATAAAAACGTATGAGAGTAAAAAAATGAATGTTATTGCTAAATATCAAAGGTAGTATACCAAATTTAAAGTAGCCAGTCACTTAGAGCACAAACTAAGCAGGTTGTAAGATATACAGATACCTAGATATATTTTCATACTTACAATATGTTAGTGTATGTTATATACGTAAATGAGGAAAACATATAAATATGTTGGGACATTAACATAGAACCATGTAGTTCCATATTAAACTACGAGGCCTATGTTGATACACTGCACATATAACTTTAAATACATACATATTATAAATATAAATAACTGTATCCTTATACATATAGTAGTGATAAAAACTTTTTAACAGTCTTTATCAGTTTTTATCAGTTTTTAACAGTCGGTGTTCTTTGCTTTGTATGGGCTGGCACCGATTTCGAAAATATTTGATTAGGTATGTATAGTAAATGAAAACTACCAATCAGTTATTTTTTACTTTTTAGTGCTTTTGTTTGAAGTTGGTTTTTATTTATTTGTAAAAAAGGTTTTATTTTTCCCTTTTTAGTGTAGACAGTAGTAGCAAAGTAAGAATTCTAAAGTGTTAGGCTTGTCAAACCAAACAAAATAAGCCCAAACTCAAAGTATCTACTATTAGCCGTTGAAGAGTTCCACCTATCCACCTTCTGGCCTTACTATCAGGTCAGGTCAACAATACTGAACCACTGTACTATAAACTGAAATAGAAACACTTGCAAAGTTTCAAGTCAATATGACAATTAGAAGTAGGTTAAATTCATTATTAGGTATTTTTCCACCCTTAGGGGTGGTATTTCTTTTTGAAATTTAAATGAGACCAATCTGGAAGTATACACTTTCAAACAAAACAAAAATTGTCCAAATCGGTTAATAAATGACGAAGTTCTGAGGTAACAAACATAAAAAAAAATACAGTCCAATTGAGAACCTCCTCCTTTTTGAAGTCGGTTGAAAAGGGAGCGTAGTGCCTTCGACACGATCGACAGCTTTAGCGAAATTTACCGATTATACGAATATATTACATTTTATTGAGCTGCCAATGAGAACTTTTTGACAGAAAAAAAAATAATATCTTTAACTGGCCCGATTCAGGATTCCAAATCAAGATACGTAGTATTAACTATTGTTATTTTAGCCGTACATTTACTGATATCGATGAAATAAAGATGTTTTAGTTTTTATCGTTACGTCGTAACAAAGCAGTTAGCGTGAACGCTTATCTTTTATTATAAAATTTTCAAATGGAGTGATTTATAATCCTAAGGATCATTTCACGTTATTATTATTTAAAAACCATTAAGGGCCTAACGTAACGTCAGTGGGTCACGCAACAGGTTTCTATTGTTATTTTCTAATTAAATTATAACTAGCGAGTAGTGGCACCTTTTTATTATCCGACTGCAAGGAAAGGGTTATGTTTTTCGAGCCTATCTTCGTATGTTTATTTGTAATATTCTTTATTCTCTCATATCTTACAAACCACTCGATGGATTTCTTTAATTAAGGTGTCGTTAGATTCGTCTCATTAGTCCAAGTGTTGTTATATAGGTGACATAAAAAATAAATATATATGGGGTCTGCTAGATTCCATAATGTGGAAAAGAAAAAAACGAAAATCGACGAACTATGTTAAGTGGGGTATCGTTGAATAGTTAGGTATTTAAAAATTATTTTTAGGTTTCTTTCATCATTTTTTTTAGCGAAATTTACCGATTATACGAATATATTACATTTTATTGAGTTGCCAATGAGAACTTTTTGACAGAAAAAAAAATAATATCTTTAACTGGCCCGATTCAGGATTCC